AGTCTTCGTTTTCCAGGGTCTTCGTTTTCCATACGTTGTAATTTCACAATTAAAAGTAGTTAGTTTAATTTATTATGAAGAATTTTGTACGGGAAGTTAGTTCACAATGAAAGTAAATGCCCGATATTGGGCGAATTCGTGTATCATTGGCGTCATAGGAACATTCCAGGGTCTTCGTTTTCCATGGTCTTCGTTTTCCAGGGTCTTCGTTTTCCATGGTCTTCGTTTTCCAGAGTCTTCCATACGTTGTAATTTCACAATTAAAAGTAGTTAGTTTAATTTATTATGAAGAATTTCGCACGGGAAGTTAGTTCACAATGAAAGTAAATGCCCGATATTGGGCGAATTCGTGTATCATTGGCGTCATAGGAACATTCCAGGGTCTTCGTTTTCCATGGTCTTCGTTTTCCAGGGTCTTCGTTTTCCAGGGTCTTCGTTTTCCATGGTCTTCGTTTTCCAGAGTCTTCGTTTTCCAGGGTCTTTGTTTTCCATACGTTGTAATTTCACAATTAAAAGTAGTTAGTTTAATTTATTATGAAGAATTTCGCACGGGAAGTTAATTCACAATGAAAGTAAATGCCCGATATTGGGCGAATTCGTGTATCATTGGCGGCATAGGAACATTCCAGTGTCTTCGTTTTCCAGGGTCTTCGTTTTCCAGGGTCTTCGTTTTCCAGGGTCTTCGTTTTCCAGAGTCTTCGTTTTCCAGGGTCTTCGTTTTTCATACGTTGTAATTTCACAATTAAAAGTAGTTAGTTTAATTTATTATGAAGAATTTCGTATGGGACGTTAGTTCACAATAAAAGTAAATTCCCGATATTGGGCGAATTCGTGTATCATTGGCGTCATAGGAACATTCCAGGGTCTTCGTTTTCCATGGTCTTCGTTTTCCAGGGTCTTCGTTTTCCAGGGTCTTCATTTTCCAGGGTCTTCGTTTTCCAGAGTCTTCGTTTTCCAGGGTCTTCGTTTTTCATACGTTGTAATTTCACAATTAAAAGTAGTTAGTTTAATTTATTATGAAGAATTTCGTACGGGAAGTTAGTTCACAATAAAAGTAAATTCCCGATATTGGGCGAATTCGTGTATCATTGGCGTCATGGGAACATTCCAGGGTCTTCGTTTTCCATGGTCTTCGTTTTCCATGGTCTTCGTTTTCCAGGGTCTTCGTTTTCCAGGGTCTTCGTTTTCCAGAGTCTTCGTTTTCCAGGGTCTTCGTTTTCCAGGGTCTTCGTTTTCCAGGGTCTTAGGTCTTCGGTCTTCGTTTTCCAGGGTCTTCGTTTTCCAGAGTCTTCATTTTCCAGGGTCTTCGTTTTCCAGGGTCTTAGGTCTTCGGTCTTCGTTTTCCAGAGTCTTCGTTTTCCAGGGTCTTCGTTTTCCAGGGTCTTCGTTTTCCAGGGTCTTAGGTCTTTGGTCTTCGTTTTCCATACACCCAACCTTTATTGGCATCTCTTCAGTAAGAACGTTGTGAGTGATTGCCCAGATTATTTCCTGGCTAGCCCTTGTTTCAGACAGAAGATGCAGTGAATTGCTGGCTTGATCCTTAACCAGATCTAGGCTAACTAAGTTAATCTATTACCCTATTTACATCCCACAGATGATAACAACTCTCATTTTAGCAAGGGGCACCATACCCTCTGCCCAATGTATGCATTGTGCTACAGTAACTTCTGCAGCTGTAGATTCTGGACACTCTAAAATGTTTATTTTCCGTGAAGAAGGTAAACACACCAGATTGTTCTTTGAGACGATTAGGTTTGCATATGCAAACTCAGACTCTCCAAAGGCAATAAATGCATGATCTTAAGGTTCTAAGCAACTCTGCTATCAATGTGATAATAATTTGGTCACAATCATTTTCTATTATTAAAAGACCTCTACACAAATAGTGTGGGCATTCATAGACTGGGTCCTATTATTGTGGTCTACAAAAGGTTTACAAACGCATTCATTGCGCCCTCTAGTGTCATACTAGAGCCTATTATGTTGTGGTTGACATATTTGATTCGCCATGCCAACAGTACATCATCAATATGTCACATAACCAGTCACTGTGTATGTTACTGCTGTATATTCAACATATTAACCATCAGCGTCGTCACTGTTAATAATGATTACTCACATATTCGATTTGCATTATAAGAATACGGTTCAGGTAAATATATCAGGGGTTGTATATTTTGCTATGGCATAAAGTGGGAAGTTTTATTATTTATTTGTTGCTGACGAGTATTTACACCGGTTCATCCTCCGCAGACAACTTTCGCATTCATCAGCTGTGATATTTACTCAACCATAGACCCTCCAGTAGAGGGTGTAAGGTCTACTGTAAGGTCAATGACTCAAGCCAGAAAAAGAGAAAACTAATGTTTTGAAGGGATATCAGAGAATGTCCGCCACATTGGCCACTAGAGGGCGCAATGTTTGGTAGATCCCAAGAAAAAAAATCTTCTAACAGTTATGGTTATGCGGCAATATTTCTCTGTTCAGACTAAATTAGTGGATAATTTGCAGTAAATAATAAACAATAAAAATGCTTTTTTCACGGTTTTTCTTCAGTAATTTCTTGATTTTAAATAATGCATGTTTCCTAGGAGAAAATTGTTTTCTTTGTTGGAAACAGTCCGAATTTACTGGTTAGAAGACTGCTTTCTCGCACAATTTAGGGGATTATTTGTAACAGCAACACCCTCCCTGAACTGGACCCAATGGTTTCCAGATAGATGATTTGTGTGTATGTATGGCCTCTCTAACAATGCGTCCATGGGATTCAATTCCCAAGCATGCGCAGGTGACGATCCCTTCGTGAAGAGACCACGGTCCTTGTTTCCTGAAGTTTTTTTAGATTATGGTGGAAATTGACAAGTTAGTAAGAAATACTATGTGATAATTAAGCAAAAAAAAAAACCGTTTTTTTTTCTGGAAATGGCGCCCTCTATAGTTGTGTTTTTTTGTTTTGTTTTTATTTAAGGTAGCGAGAGTGGAAAAACTAGAAAAAAAACAACATTTTTTAAAAAATTTCGGATTATGAAACATTATATTGTGTACTTTCTTTATTTTCGGTCCAAATTTACTGTGCGCGATGCATTTTGTGCGTAATTTCAGTTTATTCCCAAAAATCAAGTTGTGGGTACGAGAACATGGAGATGTTCATGAAATTTAGTCTATAAAGTTCAACGGACTATATCTCCAGAAGTATAAGGCACATAAAAATTCCGAGACGCATTTTCAAAGATGATTATCTTATAAAGCAGCAGTGAAAATATCGAAAACATAGAAAAAAAGAACACCGAGAAACGGACAATCCCACACAAAAACTCCTATGATTAGGAGGTTCACAGGAACGATCGTAACTTAATCCCCTGAGCAAATATCAATACGAAACATACATGATCACGAAACATATAAGATCGTATTCTGCTATATCTCAGCTTTCTGAAAACATATATATACATGTATTGCCATAACTACATGTTTAGTAACTGGCGAGGAAAGTCCTAATCTCAATTAAACTATAACTTGTGTTTCCCCTCTCGCTAACTTAAGTTCATTTAATCCCGGATTTAAATATAATTACTTTACTAAAATTACATATTCATGAAATAAATGAGTTATTATTACCAAAAATTACCAAAATACTGTGATACGTTCTTCAACATTAATTTTCATCGAAATTTAAACAGTGCATACTCTTACATATACATCAAGCACTAGTAATTTCAACAATGATGAATGAATCTCAAATATACGTAATGTGCTTATTAGATTGTTCAAGGTATAATGTAGACTTGCATATAATCTCTTGTTTATTTTTTGGTGTTTTTTTTTTCAATAAAATAAAATATCATAGGAGTGTGTAAATGACAAAAGCCGGTTACCGCGAAAGTCTGGTTAATGTTTATTTCGCGATAACCCGGCTTTCACCATTTACACACTCCCACACAAAAAAAATGAACAAGAAACTTTATGCAAGTCTATGTGCCCTCCAGTTTCACGATAACAGACGGCGTCAATAAACGAACTATTTAGGCACAGAAACCCAAACAGTTGGCGGAATAATTTTATTGATTTTCTTATAATTTATGTATAGTATGTATGGCTTACCCTAATGTATTATTGTGTTTCAAAAATATTAAATTGACCCTACATAACCTGGAGAGTTATGCCGAATTTTAATGGGCGGCAGTCGTCGCGCCGCGTCCTGTTCGATATGGGACTCATAGCGACGTATACAACGCGTGTAAAATATATTGTTTATTTACATGAAATTCGAACACGCGCCGTGACATACATACAATTCAGTTACAAGGTATAAAATAAAAACAATCCAATTTAGAAGCGAAAACTTTTTGTGTTGCCAAGGTCATAGGTAACATTTGTGTACATTGTGCGCATGTCTGTTCACCTAATGTCAGGTGACTTTTTATTTTGAAACGCGTAGCTTTTGTTCATCTTGCCGGCTATGAAATTAGTTCTGCGTGTGTTTCGGACCAGTTCTCTTAATGTGCTGATGTTGTAGTGTAACTTTTGACATGGCGATCGGTTACTGACACATTGTAGTCACCTTTAACTGCCGATGACTTGCTGCGTTGTACAAATCCCCAACGCCGGCGGCCAGAAGTGACCCTGTACTCAAGTCGATACTCCCCTATTGAAAACGAAATCCACCTCCGTACCGGGACCAGGGACCAACCTTGCTCGCACGAGAAAATGCAATTTGAAGAAATACTTGTGATACTGGGTGAATTTGGACGATATCAGAAGATTCAGTTTTTTCTGTTGTTTATTGGCACTATACCGCTTTGTTGGGTGGGTTTAGCTCCCACGTTTTTGAGTGCCTCGTCTGACCATTACTGCCGTGTACTGCCTAATCAGACCTATCAAGACGACTCTCCGCTAAAAAACTGTACAATACCTTATACTGTTGTCGACGACAAAGTAACGTGGAACCAATGTAACCGATATAATGTAAATATTACGTCGTCTTCAATTCAATGTTTACCACATCCAAACACGGCACCATGTGACGATGGATGGGTTTATGACAAATCCACGTATGAAAACACTGTTGTGTACGAGGTAAGTGCACGTACAACGTATGTCCTTGAAAGTTGTTGTTGCTAAAAGTCAATATAATAAATTGAACTGAAATAAAAATATCAGTATATTATTTGCAATAATAAAATAATCGTGTGATGATATTTTGATAAAATTTACCTGATGAATTTAACTACTAGTATTCAACTTAACGGAACACCACCACCTCAACACCCACCCCCGCAGAATCATGTGACAGTGATGAAAAGTACTCAAGCAAATCTCCCCATTGTGTGCAGTAATAAACAAGAAGTATATTGAAGCCCATTATTATATTATGTTTTTGTTTTTTTTCATGACCACCAGCATTTTTCTCATTTTTGAAAACAAAAACATACACCCCCTTGTTCATTGTGAATAAAATGTTATTTTGATGGGTGAGGCTAAAGTTGACAATATCATTAATTTTAAGCAATTAATAGTTATGCCATTATTTTTTGTTTGAAAGTATTGACTAATTAACCAAGCTAGTGAAAGGCACCACAATTATAATTTGTAATCCCTTTTATCTTTTATTTGAAAACAAACACTTTTTTGCCAGGGATGGTAGCTTTCGGTGAATTACACAAAAAAAAATTAGCAAGCTTTGAGCTTGTAAGAGGGTTTCTATTAATAAGTAATTAACTTCAAAATGGGAGTCAACTTTTATATTACTGGCAGCACCAGTGTAGATGAATTGTACCCGGTACTGTGTGATGACAGTATTGATGTACATGCCCTATAATATCTTTTGAACAATAATTGCAAAATTAATAAATTCAATTAAACAAAATAAAAAAATTATACATTTACCTTACATACCGGTATACTGTAAAATACTTTATTTTTGCTTGGAATTAATTTTCGCTATTTTCACTGAAGGAATGATTCAGTGAAAATAAAATCCAGCAAGTATACTTTTTTTCCTATATTTTACATTTTTTTTTCAACTCTTCAAAAATCAGTGAAAATAAAATCCACACTGAACACCCTAAAACGTTTTTCAGCGAAAATTAATTCCAGCTAAAATAAAGTATTTCACAGTATATGATATTATAATTCACATGTGAATGGTATATTCCATATTTTTATAAAATTATCTTCAAAACTGACATTGTTTTCTTGAAAGTATGCAAATATTAATACAGTTCACATGTACTTTACCCTTCTCTTTTCTAGTTTGACCTTGTCTGTGAAAAAGACTGGATGAAACAATTGTCCAAATCCATGGTTGGTGCTGGTCAGCTGTTTGGAGCTTTAATTTTTGGACAGTTAGCAGATATGTAAGTCAAATTCAAGTGGAATAAATTGAATTGTTCTATCTTTGTATTACCTTGTCCAAACTATAGGTGAATGGAAAGGTATATAAGGGAAGAATATCTGTCCTTGTCCTCGTTGTTGTTGTCATGTTCGACGTAAACTTTTTTTGGTGGTTACAATAACTCAAACAGTTTGATTCCATCTTTTTTAAGCTTAGCTATATTATTAACCAATTTGGATTGTTGTGTTGTATGTATATATTTCAAGATGAAATGAAATTTCTTTCAAAATTATTCCCTTCTTGTGGTCGCAATAACTCAAATAATTTTTCAAACATGTTCAAATATTATTGTGCTACTGTAAAATACTTTATTTTAGCTGGAATAAATTTTCGGTGAAAAGACTTTTCCACTTTTCACTGATTTTTGGCAAGTTGAATGTAAAATATAGGAAAAAAGGTATATTCACTGGATTTTATTTTCACTGAATTATTACTTCAGCGAAAATAGTGAAAAATTAATACCAAGCGAAAATAAAGTATTTTACAGTATGTGGCATTTCTGTTAACTGTTGTCTCTTCTGACTTTTTTTTTGATCTTTCATTGTATTTTGCAGATATGGCAGAAAACCTTTGTTTCTGATTGGTTTAATGTTGATCATTATCTTTGGTATTGCTGTAGCATTTTCACCGTTGTTTTTCCTCTTTGTGATTGGTCAGTTCCTTTTAACTGCATTTGCCAATGGTGTATATCTAACTGGATATGTTCTAGGTGAGTTGTGATTGGTCAGTTTCTCTTGACTGCATTTGCCAATGGTGTATATCTAACTGGATATGTTCTAGGTGAGTTGTGATTGGTCAGTTTCTCTTGACTGCATTTGCCAATGGTGTATATCTAACTGGATATGTTCTAGGTGAGTTGTGATTGGTCAGTTCCTTTTGACTGCATTTGCCAATGTTGTATATCTAACTGGATATGTGCTAGGTGAGTTATGATTGGTCAGTTT